GAGGCCCACTCGGTGTTACAGTGTAACAGAGTAGAGGCCCACTCGGTGTTACAGTGTAACAGAGTAGAAGCCCCGTCTTTTCGCACTCTTGGCCTTGCGCTTAGGAGTCCAGCTTGTAGCCCACTGGGCCCCAGGGCTCCATGCTGTTTGACAAGTAGTTGCTGAATAAATAAGATGAAAGGTCCCCAAGTAGTCTGCAACCAGATGCCTTGCCTCAAAGCCTAACCAGCACCTCTTTTAAAAATTAAAATAATGAATATTAACTTTTTTCCCTTTTATTTTAATTTTTTAAATCATTTTATTAGGGGCTCATACAACTCTTATCACAATCCATACACACATCAATTGTGTAAAGCGCATTTTTATATTCATTGCCTTCATCATTCTCAAAACATTTTCTCTCCACTTAAACCCCCCGCATTAGGTCCTCATTTTTCCCCTCCCTCCCAGCTCCCCCCTCCCTCATGAGCCCTTGATATATATATATTTTTAAAACATTAGGGGCTCATACAACTGTTATCGCAATCCATACACACATCAATTGTGTAAAGCGCATTTGTACATCATTCTCAAAACATTTCCTCTCCACTTAAACCCCCCGCATTAGGTCCTCATTTTTCCCCTCCCTCCCAGCTCCCCCCTCCCTCATGAGCCCTTGATAGTTTATAAATGGGTATTTTGTCATATCTTGCCCTGTCCGACGTCTCCCTTCACCCACTTTTCGGTTGTCCGTCCCCCAGGGAGGAGGTCACATATAGTTCCTTGTAATCGGTTCCTTCTTTCCTACCCACTCTCCCTTTACCCTCCCTGTTACGCCACTCACACCACTGGTCCTGTATGGCTCATCCATCCTGGATTCCCTGTATTTTCAGTTCCTATCTGTACCAGTGTACATCCTCTGGTCTAGCCAGACTTGAAAGGTAGAATTCGAGTCATGGTAGTGGGAGCGGGGAAGAAACATTTAGGAACTAGAGGAAAGTTGTATTTCTCATCGTTGCTACATCACCCCCTGACTGGCTCGTCTCTTCCCCGAGACCCCTCTGCAAGGGGATCTCCAGTGGCCTACTCATGGGCTTTGGGTCTCCACTCCGCACTCCCCCCATCATTCACTATGGTAAGATTTTTTGTTCGAATATTAACTTTTTACCAGCGCCTCTTTTGTGAAGGACAGGAATGCTGAGAGAGGCTGTTTGGGAGAACCTCACCGAACCCTGGGGTGCCGTCAGTAAGTTGGGTGGTTCAAGTCCAGCAGTCACTGCGAGGGAGAAGGACGAGGCTGTGAAGATGTTCAGCCTTGGAAACCCTTAGTGGCACCTGGTCTGAAGAGCCCCGGCTGACGCCCTCCACCAGCTGCACCCCAGCTCTGCCGGCACCTCCTCCTCTCGGCCCATCCATTCACAATCGCCCACGGGGCTGAGCACGGATGGAAAGGAAGGCGGCAACTCATACCACGCTCGCTCCGAGTTCGTGCTACTCTAAAGGTGGAGGCACCCCTCTAGCTGACCCAAGCCTGGGTCCTTCCAATCTCCTCAAATGCGCAGGCAACTGGAAATGGATGAGGAAGGCCCACGGGGAACCCAGGCCTTTACTTTTGGTGTTGGCAAAAGAACCTTAAATGTGCCGTGGGCTGCCCGAAGAACCCAGCTGACGTGGAAGCTATATTGGAAGAAATACACCCAGGATGTTCCTTAGAAGGGAGGACATGTCAGGAGAAACCGGTCCCTGAGGCTGCTGGGGGTGAGGGGAAACCCTCCTGAGGCTGAGGCTCAAGCGCAGGGACGGCTGTGAGGAGGCTGCGGGTGGGCCGTGCTGCTTTCTGGTACCCTCGGGTTCCCTGAGGCAGAATCAACTCTACGGCAGACAGCACCAATGTCCAAGTTCTGGGGAGACTGCCATCACCCCAGGAGTTTAAGGGAAATTGAAAAGGAGGGAGGAGCCCCAGGAACACAGCTTGCTGCCCTTGTGTTCAGTGGAAATTACCCAGAGCCAGCAGCCATGGGCCGCAAGCCAAGTGGCCACTCAGGGCAGCCGTGATGCGCACGGCTGGCCAGGAGGTTCCTGGCTGCTGGAACTAGCCTTTCCCACAGGCCCACTCTCCGAGGAACTCAGAGGCTCTGTTCTCTCCAGAGAGAGTTCTGTTAGTTGAAAGCAGGTCATTGTGATCATTCCAGGACCAGGTAGCGTCTTTGCTCTTGAGAATATAAAACTACCCAACCCAACACCAGCAAAACACCACGGCCATGCCTGTCCCCTGCTCTTCAGAAGGTGGCCCTCCCATGAGGCACTGGTTCCTCCAGAAGCCCTATGGGGTGAGTCTCAGTGGACCAGGTGCCTCACAGCCTGAGCCCAGGCCTCCAGCTACGGACCTGGTGCCTGTCCACCCGCTCACAGCTACTCCAGCTTTCTAAGCGTCCTGATCTCCATTCCGGGTAGATGATCCTTCCCTGACCCCACCTCTCTGGGAGCCCCGAGTGACTTTGTCTTTCCTTCCTTCCCCAGTCACATCTTGACCTCGTCCATGAACTGCATTCGGCCTCTCACCTCCGCTGGGTCTAGCTGATTGGCTCCAACAACCCTCTGGCCCTTTCACCAGGTGCTTACTGGAGGCTCCCTCGCCTCCCGCAGGGCTTCCCACAACCAACTGGCTCAACCTCTCCCTTATCATCCAACTATTTCAGCCTCTCCAGGAGCTCTGTGTCACAGTGGGTTGCAAGTTGGGCTGCTAACCACAAGGTCAGCAGTTCGAACCTACCAGCCGCTCAGAGGGAGAACGACAAGGCTGGCTGTCCTGTGAAGGGACACAGGGTCAGTTCCATTCTGCCCTACAGGGCACCATGAGTCGTCACAGACTCTATGGTGGTGAGTTTGGTGTGGGCTACACTTCTCTCTACTCCAGTCCTCTTCCCACACCATTCTCACCCGGACAGCCCCCGGAGCTGGACAAGCACAGGTCTGGGTCACACCGGGCCTCATTCCCTACTATCTGCCGGGTGACTCCAAGCACCACGGGTGACTTCACCTTCACCACCACCACTACCACCACCGCACCACCCCCTCCCCGCCCCGCCCCATGGTTTCAAGGACTAACTAACATAAAGAAGTTCAAGGTGTACAGCCCGTCAGCCTGCCACAATGAATAAAATCACCCCAGTCCAGAAGGGCTGGCAGATTCTGGTTAAAATGGCAATTGGCCACTGCCCTGCACCCCAGAACTGGGGCCCTCTCCATGATCTAATGCACATGAGCTTATTTCTTATTTCCTGCCACCGCCTGTACCCTCCCCCCACCGGTGTAGCTGCGGAACACACCAGCGGGCCCTGCCTGCTTTGTCCCACCCCCCCCACCACTCCAGGCACACCACGCTTTTCCCTTGAACACACCAAGTTCCTTTCTGTCCTGATTCTCCCACTAGAAGGAACCTGGGAGACACAAGTAGCCGCTAACCCCAAAGTTGGCGGTTCAAACCCCAAAATCGGCCTGGCAGCAGGGCTTACACAGGCAGCGTACACAGGGCCTACACGGTGGCACTGGCAAGCCACAGTCATGACGGCCAGGGCTTCTGTAGGGTTTTTCCATTCATCTTATCTATCAATGGTATGGCTCCCAGGGCTCTCCCTGCAGGCATTCCGTGGCGGGTTGATACAGAGGTCAATAATTAAAGGCAGCGATAATGACGGCTAAGGCACAAATAGAAGATGTATTCTGCTCACAAAGATGAACAGAGAAAGGAATATAACCCGATGTCAGTCAAGAGTTAACCAATATACAACCACAAATCTTTTTGTAAGTAAAGGTTAAGGTCACATGTGAATGGCACAGGTCTATGCTAACATGCAGGGTCACCTCATCTGATGGCAGCTGCTAGCAGCCACTGCCCACAGCCTCCAACCTGACACCCACTGGGTGCCAACATCGTTGGGTGGCTGCGGCCTCGTTCTTCACAGCAGGGATCAGATATCGCCTCTGTCTAAGACCTCCCCTAACCAGCTGAGCTGAAAAAAGAGACCCCGCCCCAATCACTTTCTTACATCACTGGGTTCTTGTGCTGCACCTTCTTAGTAATTTGATATTGTGGGAAGCGCTCTATATTTAGCTGTTTACTCTCCCCGCTTGCTTGCATAAAACTCTGTGGGCAGAGGCCTGCTGGTCTGACCCACCTGGGCCCCCACAGGCACACAGAGCAGGGGGTCCACTCAGGAAGCCCTGTGAAATGAGGAGGGTCTTCCATCGAGAGCTCTCTTCCCAGTCACGTGAGCTGCTCTGCAGCAGGGAGAGTTTTAACACTGGTCCAAAAAGACCCTTTAAGCTCAAGTGGCCCTAGAAGGTAGAGGTTTACGGTAAACCAGTCTGGTCCACCTGCCCACCCACCGCCTCGATGGCCCGGTCCAAAAGGGTCAAACGCCAGCTTTTCCACCCAACAGCTCTTAGGGCAGGTAGAGCGCCCTCCACCTGCGCACCTGGCAGGGTTTTCTCCGCTCCACTTTTACTTCTTTTGCTTTTTCCTCCTTTTGGATCCCTGGGCGCGGGCATCTTGGGGTACCTGACTGCGGAGGCCGACACCCGCCACCCACAAGTGCGAGTGTCGGCTCTCTTCCTGCGGCGCCAAGGGCCTCTGTGGGGCCCTCGACCACGGCCACGTAGTTCCGCTTCCCGGGCCTGGCTTGGCCACGGAACTTCGCTCGGCCAGCAAGAGGCTGCTCTTCGGTCTAGCCCACTTGCGGGCGCCCCTCCTAGGTCACCACCCGCCGCCCCCGCCCCCGCGCGCCCCCAGCCGCCTGCCCCACCCCAGGGAAGACTTCCCTAGCTCTGCGGCTCGCCTGCCAAACCTCTCCGAGTTTAATCGCCAGGTGTGGGGTTGAGTCTCCACCACACCCCTGAACGTCAGTCACCAAATTGCCCCCATTTCTCCCCGGCTCAGACCCCACCCCCACCCCCCGGCCAGTCCCCGAGGCCCGAGTCTCTCCCCCGCCCACCCCTCCCGGGGCCTGCCGGGCGCTCACCGTGGATGCTTCGGTCTCCGTCGGCCGCCGCCGCCGCCCCGGCGAGGAGCAGCGAGCCCAGCAGGGCCAGGAGCGCGCCGGCCCGCCCGGGCACACGCGGCTGCGCCATGTCCGCCAGCTGCCGGCGGCTGCGGTGTCGCGATCAGGTGCGGAGACCCCGGCCGCGCACGCGCAGTCCAGGCGCTGGGGACACCGAGGGTCCCCGGGGAGCCGCCCTGGCAGCTGCCGGGCTGCCCCTTTCTCGAACCTTCGGTGGGTAGGCTGGCCGCTCCCCGCGCTGGCGCGGTGCTTCCGCCCGCTCCTCACCCGCCCCCTCGCCCCCCGCGACCCCGCAGCTCGGCCCCGCGTCCGGACGCGCGACGGGTGCCAAAGCCAATGGCGGACGCCTGGAAACGGATACAACGGCGGCCAACCGAGGAGGGGGCGGGACGTACCTGGCGACGGGGGCGGGAGCGCGCAGGCGCAGAGGGCAGGCACCTGTGCGGCCGCGACCCCGCCCTCGGCGCACCTGGGCCCCGCCCCTGCCAGCCTGCGCGGCGTGGGCCGGGCCAGGCCGGGGCCCGGGGGTGGGCCAGGGCTCTTCCGCCAGCCGCCCTGGCTCGGACTGGGCTCTTCCTGTGCTGTCGGCGCGCAGCCTTGCCTCCGGGGAGGGCAGGGGATGGGGGGGCGACGCCAGATTCGCTCTTCCTGGGAATTTGGGGGCGTCCGCCCGCCCCTCCTCTGTCTTCCTAATGTCAGCAGCATCCCAGTTTTTCACCGGGCCGCCCCCCCCACTCCCCGTGACGACTCCAGACTGTATCACAGTAGTGCGGACAAGCGTCCAGGCAGAGTGCCCAGGGCTCCCGTGGGAAGGACCACCAGGGCTGGCTGAGAGCCCCGACAGTTTCAGCCTCAGAGAGAGCCAGGGAGGTCTTTGCGAGGAGGTGACCCCAAACCCTGCGCTATTCCGACTCATACACAAACAAAAAGCGCTGTCATCCGGTCGATGCCGACTCACAGGGACTGTATAAGGACGCGGAGAACTGCCCTGTGGGCTTCTGAGACCTAACTCTCCTGGAGTTAGAACCACCTAATCTTTCTCCCTTGGTTTCGAACGGCTGACCTTGCAGCGTGCAGCTCCCTGAGTCACCAGGGGTCCTGTCAGAAAACAGAGCCATGAAGGAAATGAACTGGATGCTAGGATGGAAAAGAGCCCAGACCATCCGACCGGAGGGATGGGAGGTGATGGGGGAGAGGGCTTCTTGGGGACGTGGGGTAGATTCTGACTCCTGAGAAGAGTTGAGGAAGAAAGGTTGGAAGGTTAGAAGCAGCATGCGTAAAGCCCCGAGGCAGGAACAACTTGGGCATCTTTCAGAATCCAGGGCCACTCCCCAGTGTTGAGCCTCCTTCCTGGTGGTGCAGTGGTTAAGTGTTGGGCTGTGATTCGATTCCGATCACATGGGCGGCAGTTTGAAGTCAAGCAGCTAGCTACTGGGGAGAAAGATGGGGCTTTCTACTCCTGTAAACAGTCACGGGTCGTCTTGGAAACCCACAGGGGTTTGCTCTGAGTCAGCATTGACTCAAGTGGCCTGAGTTTGCTTTGGTTTGGGTCCTGTGATGAGGGGAACCCTGGTTACACAGTGGCTAGGCTAACCCCAAGGTCAAGAGTTCCAAAGCACTAGCCACTCTGGGGAAGAAAGACCAGGCTCTCTCTGAGATCCAGTTCCAGAAACTGCTCCCACGGGAGCAGTTTTACTGTGTCCTCTAGGTCCCTATGAGTGAGCATTGATTTGATTTGATTTCTCCACCCCCTGACCCCATCATATAATGAGCACTGTTCACTGGCTTACCAGAACGGCATTGACCTTAAACCACCTCTCTGTTTTCTCCTGTGATTCGGGATGGGGACTCTCACTGTGCGCCTTAGGTCTCCCAACACCCGAGCCTCCTGGCTTGACCGCAAAACACCAGATCTCGGATGAGCAGGGGATTCAGGTTTCCAAGCCTCTCTACTCCTCGGCTCTTGTCCCGCTCACAAGGAGGATTTCAGGCGAAAGACAAAATTCAGACCACAGTCAGAGGAAAGGTTTGAACAGAAAGAGTGAGTTTATGGAAGGGAAGACTTTGTTTGGAAAAGAAGTCCAAAGAGCTAGTCTAAAAGACTGAACCTGTAGTTGGCTAATGGCGGACCTACCCCCATCGGCTGACTTGAAGGCCGGTTTTCTACTATTGGCTGGTCCTCTGTAGTGTCCCTCCTCTTTCAGGGCCCCTGCCTCCCAGCGCTCCAGACTTCTTGCTGTGTCCTTGTCATTGGACGGGGCAGGGTGAATAACTTATCTTTCTCCACCCAGCGTCCACTATCTCTGGTCTATTCCATTCATAAGGAAATGCATCTTATCTGTCCTTCCCTTCTTTTGTGCTGGGGAGGTATGGCGTGGGGGAAGTGTCTCCACCTCTACTTTGTGTGATAATTTCTCCCAGACTCCTGTCATCAACACTTCTTATCTCTCTTCCAGCCTCTGCCTACCTAACAGAGCGACCCTTTAGGACAGGGCAGAACTGGCCCTGTGTTTCCAAGACTTTAACCCTTTATAGAGCCAAAAGGCCCATCTTTCTCCCACAGAGCGCCTGGTGGTGTCCAGCAGCCTGCCAACCTTGCAGCTAGCTGCCCAACTCGCAGGGGGCCGTGACTCAGTATTAACTCGAGTGGCAGGGGGTTTGTTTTGTCTACCAGAGTCCTGGAAGCATCGTGGGTTGGGAAGTGAACTCAAAGATCGGTGGTTCAAATCCACCAGCTTCCCCCACAGAGTTGTAGCGTTTCAGAAGCCCACAGGGGCAGCTCTCCCTTGCCCTATCGGGTTGGCATGCATTGACATCGGCTCCGTGGCAACAGGTGCCCATGAAGATGGACAGATCTGTGAGAGATGAGGCCCTGGCTGCTCACCCATGGCACGCACCGCACCCCGAGCCAGCCGTTCTCTGAGCTTACTCCTGGAGCTCATTCTCTGTGCAAGACCCATGGGACCACAAAGCCAAGGGTCCGCTCTGAGGGGGTGGGGGGTGGTGGCTTCATAACCGCAGGAGCAGTGTGGAAGTAGCACATGGATTTAACACTGGGGTGGACTGTAGTGTTATTTTTGTGGTCGAGAATGTACAGCAGAACATACACCAGCAATTTCCACCCGCACGATCCAGCGACAGACTCCATTCACCGACTTGTACTCGCTCACACCACCCCCATTAAGGGACGCACACACCCCGCCCCACCCCCACCAAGTTTTCTAACTAACTATTTCAGTTGCTGTGGCCACTTTGATCTCATAGGTGATGGCTAGACCTTACAAGAGCGGAATACTCAAGGCTGGTGGATTAGAGTTTCAATTCTGAGCACCCCATTTGCAGAAGGCTATGGATGACAGTGAAAGCCCCAAATCCATTAGCAGACGTCCCCTGTGGGTTTTCAGCCTCCACTGAATTCTTTCTGATCATTACCCAGGGATGTGGGGAAGCGGGCTCTCAGCAGACTGCCTTGGAAAGCAAATGACCTTCCCCCACTCTCCAGCCCGCCCAGGGAACATCAGACCTTCTCTCTTCCCAACTTGCCTGGGTGTGTCCACCCCTGGGGGGTGGGGGTGGGAGTGGGAAATCACCAAGAGTCATGTCCTGACTGCCTTGGTCGGAAGGCCCCGGACTAATCTTGTAAGCTTCTGTCGAATATGAGGGCCATGTCCCAGTCACGGTCCTGTTCCTGATTCTGTAGTCCCACCTGGAACTGTGACGTCTTGATGTGCCACCAGTCTTGCTTTTGTGACAGTTTCCTCTGCCCCTTTCGGAAGCTCTGTCTCTGGACACCATTATGACCTCGTGTTGGTGCGATGATCCCTCTCAGCTTTGTCCCCTTTAAGACTTAATGTAAACAATAGCACACGCAACTTTCCTCTAGTTCCTAAATGTGCCCCCCCCCCCCACTATCATGATTACAAATCTGGCTAGAACAGAGGATGGACACTGGTACAGATAGGAACTGGAAACACAGGGAATCCAGAGCGGATGACCCCTTCAGGACCAGTGGTGAGAGTGTCCATACCGGGAGGGTGGGGTGGGAAGGGGGAACCGATGACAAGGGTCTACATATAATCACCTCCTCCCTGGGGGACGGACAACAGAAAAGTGGGTGAAGGGAGAATTTGGACAGTGCAAGATATGACAAATAATAGTAATTTATAAATTATCAAGGGTTCATGAGGGAGGGGAGAGTGGGGAAGCAGGGGGTGGAAATGAGGGGCTGATGCCAGGGGCTTATGTGGAGAGCAAATGTTTTGAGAATGATGAGGGCAATGAATGTACAAATGTGCTTTACACAATGGATGGATGTATGGATTGTGATAAGAGTTGTAGGAGCCCCTAATAAAATGATTTAAAAAATAAAGACAATGTATATTGTGCTCAGATCATATTTGAGTTTGGGGTCACTTTTGTACCTAAAACATTAGGAAGCCTCACAGGCTTTTCCACAGATGTGGTGTCCATTTGAATCTTGTCTTTGGTGAAGTAGCTACTTGAGTCCTGGACTTAGTTTGTGACTGAGTTGTCTTTTTGTTCTTGCCAAAGTCTTGCAGATTTTTTGGATAACTGGAATGAGATGATGATGGGATTTTACCCCCAAACATTTTTTTTTGGCATCCCTCTCTCCGACGAAGACGAAGATGGAATCAGGACTGGAGAAAGGATCGAATCACCAACGACTTTTCAATATGCAAATGACACCACCTTGCTTGCTAAAGCTAAGCCAGCTGGGAGCACTTGCAGATGAAGTTCAAGGGCTGTGGGCCTCTTTGTTCCTGTGTTTAGTCTCTTTGGCTGTCTTTCCGTCGAGGAGGTTTTTATCCGTTTGACTTTGTTGTTGTTCATTTTGTTTTTAATGTTTTTCTGTACAGTGAACCCTCGTTTATCGCGGTTCATCGGTTCTAGACCCTACCGTGATCAATGAAATTCCGCGAAGTAGGATTCCTTAAAACACCCTTTAGTCACCATTACACTCGTATTACCCAATTTATTAAACGAAAAAGGGAAAATACAGTAAAACATTTTGGGCGTTATAATTATCATTTATTATTTATTATATTACTTATGGCATCAAGCATGTACAGTATGAGCCAATCAGTGGCAGTCATGACAGAGCATGCGCTGTGACGCAAAAACCGCGATAGAGTGAAGCCGCGGAAGTCGAAGCGCGAAGTGGCGAGGGTTCACTGTATATGAGATCCAGGAGAGATAAGCCCATAGAGACAGTAGCTGGATGCATGGGCCTTGGGGGATGGTGGAGGAGGTGAGGGGCAAATGGGAACTACTAACGATGAGTATAGAAATGTAGAAAATGTTCTCAAACCGATGGTGGTGATGATCATGCAACTTTTTTTAAAAAATCATTTTATTGGGAGTTCGTACAGCTCATCACAATCCACACATCCATCCATTGTGTCAAGCACATTTGTACATTTGTTGCCCTCATCATTCTCAAAACATTTGCTTTCTGCTTGAGCCCTTGGTAGCAGCTCCTCATTTTTCCCCTCCCTCCTCACTCCCC